TTGGCTGCCCTCAGCCCCAGATCGTGGTGTCTCTAGGACCGCTTTGCCGAGCCACGCATGTCTCGTCCATCACGAAGCTCAGAGCGCCAGATCAGGCCATGAGTGGCTGGCGACGGCTAAGATTCTCCGAGAGTTTCTCCCTTCTGGCGGGTTGCGAATCGCAATAGACGTGGAGTCAAGGAGGCGCGAGCCGACCATAGTGCAGTAATCGTGACATGCCCCGCTGCAATTGCGTTGCATAGAACGACGTTTCTTTTTCTCCTGTCAAATCGGCCTCACAGAGCGGGATCGATTGGGGGTGGCGGCAATGGTGTCAACGCTACGTTCAAGTAGGACTTCATCCCGTCAGATGTCATCCCGGAGCAGACCCCTACCTACAGAAACTTCAGAGGCCCACCATGGCCGACCGATCGACATGAGTATTTTGGAAAGACGTCCTCGTGTTGCCCGGGCGGAGCCTTAGACACCTGCTCTCTAAGAGCCGGACGCGCTGGGCATCTTGAGCCGGCGGGCCACGGCGGGGACGTTGTGTAATGCCGCTAGTTCCACCCACGGATCGCACAGCTCGTGATGGCGGGCAGAAACCACATGGCTAGCAGCCAGTCAAACGACGTCGAGCATGCCTTGCATTGCTTCGTTCGTGTTCCTCCCACATCTCTCCCAACCAGCATGCAAGCTCTGCGCACAGAGGTGTTTGGAGATGGCCGGGCTGCATAGCGAGGCTCGCCGGCCCACGGCTTCCGCCAACACCACCTCGAGGGTCAGCAAAACAACACCAAGGGGAGGTGCGTCTGTGCTCCACTAGTTGATGCATCTGCGAACCCTGCGATGAGCGACGTCGCCGGCGTGCAGAGCCGGGTGCGTCATTGGACATGCGTTGCCCCCGCCTCGTTATCGACAGGTCGTAACTCACCAGGCGGAAACCGTGGGCGTGGCAGGGTTTATTATCGCGTGGATTCAAAAGCACTGGAAAGGGGGGAGGGCGACGAACTTGGAAGTCCTCCAACGCCGAGGGGATTCAAGCACGCCTGCTTGGGCGGGCTTGTCAAGTCGAATCGCTAGTGCCAAAACACAACAAGCACTTCGATAGCGAATTTCTGCGCGTCCATCTGCTGCTTTTACCTGCCGTCCTGCGCGAGGGTTGCTTTTTGTCCAGGTAGTAGTAGGTAGAGCAGGCCGTAATAATAATGCAAAAGGTCGGCTTCGTCAGGTTGGGGAATTCAAATCGCGGGCCACAGACGGGACGTCACACTGTTTCGTCGCATGGAGCAGCAACAGGATCGGCCGTGCTCAAAGCACCAAGAGGCGACCAACCGGCTCCTCCACGATTGGATCGCTTCAGCTTTTCAGCGTATCATCTGTGGCGCCAACGGTAGCATCTGTATGATGTGGAAGACGAGCTCGTCCAGCCTCCAGGGGCTGCGGTGCCGTGCAAAAGGCGTGCAAAAGGGGGAATCGTCCAGAAAAGAAATGCTTCTGCGGTTCCGTCTGGAGGGCAGACGAGCTTGCAGGTTGCGATCCTCGCTTTCCAACACTGGCAGAAGGAAAACCATGTGGGCGGAATGCTGCGTCGGGGCCACTTCCACGCACTAGCGTGATTTCAGGGAAGAGGCAGAGAACCCCTGGTCGACGCCGCCACGGGCCCATCGCTTGTACCGGGTTTGCAGCGTCTGCAGCAATTTACCTGAAGACCACAGACCACAGTACTTGCATGCGCCTGGAGCGGAACTGAAAGCTGACGGCACGCTACCAAACCCGCCAAGAAACGGCCTCTGAGGAGCTCAAGGGGGGGTGGTGAGCTGCAGGGAGGTAATAATAATACTTGCTCTGCTATCGACCCGACTCTGATGCTGCTGTCGCTTTTCTGAACGGCTCCTGCACCTGATGCATTTTTCATCTCGAACTGTTTTGTCTCTGCCGCTGCCACCGCCTCCTTCGCCGTCCGGTCCTTGGCTAACTATCAGACCAGCCGTTTTTAATTATCTGAACTCCTTCTATTGCAGTACTGCCCTCTCCACCGTCCCGTCCTCCGCTGGATGGATCCATCGTGACCACAATTCCCCGCGAGCTCCGGCCTCTAATAAGTCGATCGGTCTCAGGTAGCTGGATACATCTGGCCGGCTTGCTGTAGGACAGCGAGACGAGCCCTGCCGGTCTCAGCACCTCACCACGTCGTGCACCACGACGATATCGGACCAACCCTCACGAGCGTCGCTGCGATTCCCCTTGCGCTGGCGAGCACCGAAGTGTCGTTGCAACTTCAACCCGTCGCTGCACCTACATTGGTGGCCGTCAATCGATCGAACCGAACCTGCGGGGCACTGGTCACCCGAGAGGATCGACAAGTCAGGGCTTCCTGCTGGTGATACCCTTGACGAGCGACATTTCCGGTCCCCGGATTGCGAACCTCCCAAATTCCTAGAACCAGTCGAAATGTGTTTCGGGGCTCGCGATAAGGAGGATGCGGCGGGCGCTGCGCGGTCGCGCGAGCTGGACAAGGTGATCCGCGCAGATGAGAAGCGCATGGCGAAAGAAGTGAAGCTGCTACTGCTCGGTATGTCGCTCACCAATGCAGCGGGCATTGGACCGCGGAACTGACGGAATTGCTAGGGGCCGGCGAATCAGGAAAATCCACAGTGTTGAAGCAGATGAAGTTGATCTACGCACAGGGCTTCAGCAAGAACGAGAAGCTCGAATGGAAACCAGTCATTTTCGGCAACATTGTGCAGTCGTTCAAACTCATCTTCGACGCCATGAACGAGATGGACATCAAGTTTGAGATGGTAGAAAACGAGGCAAGACCCTCCGCGCCCTTTGGCATGCTACTCGGGATGGAATCGGCTAACCAATCCCATGTACAGAAAAACATGGCCCACATCATGGTCGAGTACGAAATGAGGGCAGACGAGCCGCTCCCTATAGATTATCTGGAGCCAATCAAGAGGCTATGGATGGACGGCGGCGTCAAGCAAGCCATCGAGAAGGGCAACGAATATGCGTTGCATGACAACCTAGACTAGTAAGTACCGAACCCTGCGGCCGGGCCGTCGGGTACTGACATGGCTATGAAGCTTCTGCGCGGACCTGGACCGGGTCTGGGACAAGAACTACGTGCCCACAGATCAGGATCTCCTGCGATCGAGGCTTCGAACAACCGGCATTACCGAGACGGTTTTCGATCTTGGTCAGCTCACGTATCGCATGTTCGATGTGGGCGGCCAGCGATCCGAGCGGAAAAAGTGGATCCACTGCTTCGAGAACGTTAACTGCCTTCTCTTCTTGGTGGCCATCTCAGGCTACGACCAGTGCCTTGTTGAGGACAAGGACGGGGTATGTTTGCCGCCTGTGGGTCCTGAGCCGTGGCTGACTTGCAGCAGAACCAAATGAACGAAGCCCTGATGTTGTGGGAGTCGATTGCCAACTCGCACTGGTTCACCAAGTCGGCTCTGATTCTCTTCCTCAACAAGATGGATCTCTTCAAGGAGAAGATCACCAAGAGCCCCATCACGGCGCACGGGTTCACAGACTACCACGGGCCGCCGGATGACTGGAAACAGGCCAGCAAGTACTTTATGGACAAGTTCCGAGCGCTCAACCGGAACCCCGAGAAGGAGATCTACGGTCACTTCACCAACGCGACCGATACCAACCTGCTCAAGATCACCATGAGCTCGGTACAAGATATGATTATCCAACGAAATCTGAAGCAGCTTATCCTGTAAGGCAAGCCGACTTTTAATTCTTTGGATCCCGGGGCCGGGCACTTGATGCCCGCGAACCCATCGTCCGCTTGTCTGAGATGACGAGATTCATGGGACGCCGTGGCTAAACTTGGTGTTTGCTAGCGTCTAACCCTCGGTGCGGTCTCTATAAAGGGGGGCAACTCATCAACCTGATAAACCCCTGCTACGCCCCTCCCCACCTATCCCCTAGCATCCAACCTCTGTACATAACACCAATTCGTTTCATACCCGAGAAGACGAATACCGACCGTCATACCATTAAGGGCCGATTTACGAGACTGGGACCAATCGGAGGTTGCGAGGGCGCTCGTTTTGGGTGCTGTGTTTTCCAGCTTGGTTGGCTGGCAGCAGTGACTGGATTCTGTTCAGTGTTTGTTGTTTTTCGCTGTAATTTTTGCAATTGACTCTGGGCGGAATGGAACGGTCGGAGATGGAGCAATGACATTATATATACCTAGCATACCGGTCAGGAGGAGGAAGAGGCGACCCCGTTTCACGCGGGGAGTTTGCAGAGGAGGATGACGGATTCTGATACCCACACATTGGGCTGCGTGAAAAGAGGATGATGGCCTTGGCTCGTCAGTTGGTCCCCCTTGGCGTCACTTGGTGAAATGGAGTTGTCAAGACAGTTGTCACTTCCGCGATTCAGTCCGACTGTGTGTGAGCGTTGCCGACAGGTCAACATTCCTTCGTTACGTAAAGGCCCGGCATCGCGGCGATCAGTGTCTGCAAGGTCAGCAGATGGCTTTGCGCGGTCGGTTTGCTTGCAGGTGCTGCAGGCCTGTCACAGCATGGTGGCTTTCGCGGCAGCAAACACTGGCAAGGGTTAGGATACTCCGCCAAGACTATGTCGCTTTCGAGAAGATCATAAGCCTCCCCGCATTATCTTATTGGCGTTGCCGGCATGTTGTTTGGTCACAGGCGACAAAGGGGAAGTGGTTAGAATCCCGAGGTTCGCACGTCAGGGCTTCAATGTGCACTTTCTTGGGTGTGTAATGATTCTAATGAACGTCGATCGAAGAACCTAAAACTTATGAACACGAAAAGCCACGAAGGGTTTAGATTTGCCATTTCGTCTTATATAGACACTCCTAAGAGTTTCTACAATATGCACATGCAACTTTCTCGGTCACAACGGATCGTCAATATTCGGAGGGTACGGAAGAGTGAGGAAATTCCTTCCCGGATTTTCGGCTGTGCTCGCTCCGCCAACGGCGTTATGACGCCGGTGTAGGGCTTGAACGTTCAACAATTGGAGGCCGAATGGCGCAATGGTAGCGCGTTACTTTCCGGTTCACGACCTGCCGCCTTCAGGTGGACCTGGTCTACGACAGCTGGTAAAGGTTCTGGGTTCGAGTCCCAGTTTGGTCGCTTTTTTGTCCCTATCCACACTCTCTCTGTGAGAGACCGCGATCCCCTTTTTGATCATATGCACTCTTAGACTCAGAAAGAAACGCCTTCGTGGAAGCAGCTGGCTCTTAGTAATGACGGGGACAATGTATTTCTCAGAATCAGCGAAGTGAGTGCTTTATTACCAGCTAATTCTGAGTCCAGCTTCAAAGGGAAGGGCAAACACCGAAGGAACGATAGACTCGGGGACAGAACAGTATCGATATGAGGAATGGGTGTCGGAAACTCGTGGACTCGATGCGCTTAAAGATTAAATGGATTTAACACTACCCAAAACGCACAAAGCCTTCTCAGAAATGTGAACTGATCCTCTCTCCATCGAACCACTTCGACTCCACCTCCTCTAGGTGTCTCCTCTGTTCTCGCACTTGTTGGGCCAGGAAGGAGCACCCCCAGCAAGATGGAAGGCACACACAGACCACAGCACCTGTATTTTGCCACGGCCACAGGGCCATCTCTTCCACAAAACAAGCATCCTTACCTGCACTTCTTCACACTCTTTATTCCATTTTCTCGCCCATTAAGCAAAACCAACTATTACAGTCGCCATCACCATAGAAATCGGACGTACCGCATTGATATTCGCCCTCTGTGCATAATCGACACAGTCAGGGCTGCACGGTATCCACAGACGACGGATGTTAGGAAATCTCATTGATTAGGCCGCAGTCGCAATGTTTGCCGCTCTGAGGGAGAGCAGACCCGAATACTATCAATGCACACGCTGATCCGGTCACTTCAACCCCGCGAGAAAGCTGTCAAGCAGGAAAGATTCAGGGCATGTGTATACGAGTAGACAAGACCAACTCTTAGGGGACCACGATAGACAGCAAAGGTATCCAAGGCGGTAAATCCCTTCTACCCACTTGCTTCCCCATAAAACTCACCCAGAGTTCTGGTTTGTGCACATCACTTCCCCCAAAATACTTTACAGAGATCTCCACGGTTGATCTCCGTTTCAGAAAAAAAAACTGTCTGGTTCTCGCTTTCGAGACCTATCCGCTAACGGTATCGTCCACCTATCTCCATGTTGCTCTCCGACAGCAGCACACTACCTTACCCTCTCCCGGCTCCTCCATACCTGCTAAACATACATCCGCCGTACATAGGTAAGGTAGGTAGATTTCCTCACACCGACCAACAAGAACCATTCCCGTAACTCTTGCCCCTTGTCCTGCATTCCGAAGCAGGAAAGTAAACCTCCCAAAGGACAACCCATTAAACCCCCCTTATTCAATCCATCTTGGTACCCAGGCAAGTGAACTAAATACAATGGTAAGTTCCTAACCTTTTCTAACCCAAAAGTGAAGGAGGAGGATGGTAGATAGACACACCATTCGTTGTACGATCATCTCCACAGAAAATCACAGTCCGTCCCACCGTCCTAAACACCAATAACAACCACCCCTCTCACAGTCGCCATCGTCACCACTGTTTTGCTTCTGGTAGTCGCCGCGGAGCGAAACATCAGAGTCTTTGGGAGGAGGTTTGGGCTTGGGCGTCGAAGGCGGTGTGGGGGGAGGGATCGGGGACGGAGAGCGCGACGGCGGAGGTGTCGGCGGGGGAGTATCGGGGTCGGTGTCCATGTTTGCTTCTTGTTTGGTTGTGTGGGTGTGCGGTCTTTCGAGGTGTTGATGTCAGGTCCCTTGGTGGTTTGGGTCTGAGAGTTGTTCTACGGGCTGGAAAGAGGGCATTGGTATCTGGACATGAGTGTCTATTTTATATCTCGCGACGTCCATATCAACTGGTATCTTTGAAATGAACCAGGGCCGCCAGACTCTAGACGACTAGACTGCGCTATCTACGAGCAGCTGTCTAGTTTCATAGTTCATCCTCGACTACGATGATGTAGATCCGAAACTACCTATTCTCATGGTAGTCTCGGAGGGGGGAGCGGGATGGCTGTAAGGAACACATCCGCCGTGATTCCAGACTGTTTGTCCCATCTTACTCATAGCACAACTCTAAAAATTGCAGCGCAGTTGTGTTCAGCAAACCAGATTCAGGATGAACTTATCAGAGTTGGAGCAGTTTGTTGACTAGACGTCTTGTCCAGTGTTGATTCTGCCCCTGAAGTCTTGGCATCGGAACTTGCCGAGTCGTCGCTCATCACAAGTCTCCCACACGTCCAAAACTTCATCTTGCCAGCGCCGACCCCGCCCGACTGTCCACGGGACGAACCCGATGGTTGTCTGCTTTGTCGGAGTCGAGTGACCGCCTCCGAGAGCATCAACACCCGGTGACGCTGTCCTGAGACATGCAGGACGTGAAGCCATCGCCAGTGGTCCGCTAACACTTCAAAAATCAGCGGAGAAGTACTTTCTCAGTGCCGATCCGCTTCCCCTCACTGCATCGCAGAGCCGAAACCATGTCAAATCAAGCCCGGTGCAGCGGCTGTCTCTGATGAGCAGCCCATGCGATATTTTCGATTCAATTGCTTCCTAGCTGTTCCTGCTTACCACTTCTTGGCTTTGGAATCTCCAGACCACCATTTGCCCCGTTGCGCGTTGCAACCCGGGAGCCTGGTCACGATGGCTTGGCACTGAGCCACCTTTTCACCTTCCACGCAAACCACCCCGCCACGGGCCACGAGCTCGAAGGGCAGACACCGGTTTGGCCCGGGAACGTCTACAGCCGCGAGCGCAAGGTGGGCGGTGACTGGCCGACGTCGTCAGCGTGCCGTTGCGTGATGCACCTGTTTGCTGCATGGCCCTCTCGGCGACCAATCGCCGGTGCGGTCTGCGGTTTGCAAGGAATCAGGGCCCCTCTTCCGAGTCAAATCCGCCCGCGCCGGCCGCAACTCACACGCAACGTCGATCTCTCTTGGAATCAGAGCCTGCTTTGCCGGCTGTTCCTGGATTTGGTCTTTATAGCGGCCATGGTCCCCCATGTACTGCCGACTTTGCAGCTTACCGCCTCCCACTTCTCAACAACAGGTGCTTCTCTACACCCTGCCTCATCATCAACCGCGCCCTTTTTGGATCTCTCGAGCCGGTTGTTTCCAGCCATTGTCGGCTTCGGCAGCCAGTTGTTCATCTCGGCTGACGACATCGGCGCTTCTCGAGTCTGCCGCGCGCCTGAGTGGTTGCCAGTTGACAGGCCTCTGACGCCCGTCTCCAGAGCTCCAAGCCTATTTGTGGGGAGGCCCCACGCAGCGCATTGAGGTGAGCAACTGAGGCCTCTCATTCTCCATTGGCTCATGGGTTCGCGACACGGCGAAACCGTTGAGCGAGTTCCCGCATGGGCGACCGAGGAACTGGCCCATGCCGGGGTCGTGTTGAGACATTTTGTTTGCCGGGTAAATCTGGTTTGGACAGACGGTTGCAAGTTGCACGACTGCTCCGACAGAATTGGAATATGCACGGGAACCTTGAGGGTCAGTCAGGCCACGGCAGGGTCCCCATATGTCGACAGATTGCTGCTGTCTTTTTACCCATATACCACAATCATGTCTCCATTTCTACCCCCACCTGGAAACTTAAACCATCTGAATTCCGTCGGGTGATCGTCATTGTTTCAACTGCCAAGCAACCCGCGGACGCTTCACATCACCGCACGTCTGCCCGTTCGGACCCGCCTTGCCGAGGCTTGACGTCTGGCCGTTTCCTGTGTGCTTTTAAAGACATTTGCCTGACTCGACTTTCTTCAACTTCTTTTTTTCTGTTTCGCAAACCAAATTTTCTAATCATGCCTAGACCAAGGCCATTTCGCAAGAACACAAACCGCAACAGCACCACCCAGCTCAGCTGGTCACACGAGGACATCATGAACAACGCCGCCCCGCAAAGTCCCAGCCGGAGTTCTCTCCGGGGCCGCAACACCGGCTTCCCCGAGTCCTTTTGCGGACGTAAGTTAGCCAGCATTTGCTTCCTTCCAATCCCCTCCTACCTAGTAGGTACATCATCTCTCTAACTCTAACGTAATCACCCAGTCCGCAACACGACCCTCCCCCACCCAGACGCCAACCTCTCCCCAGACGCCGTCCTCACCGAAGACGACGTATCCGTCGGCCGAGCCCTAGCCCGCCACCGGGCCTCCTTCATGGTCGACCGAAAGCCCTCGCCCGCCGCCCTGAGGCTAGGCGAACCCCTAGTCTCCGACCACGACTTCTGCGCCTCGCCGGCGTCCATGACGGGCAGCAGCGGCAGCTCCAACAGCAACAACGACAAGCAGTTCGCCACGCTCGGCACGCTGGCCCTCGCCTCGCTGCGCAGCGCGGACCACCTCGCCAAGCCGCCGCCCGAGTCGCGGTCGTCGCACGACGGCGGCGACAGCGTCGTCATGTCGTCCGAGGAGGGCGGGTCGAGCGCGGGGAACTCGCCCACGCGTCCGTCGCGGTCGAACGTCAAGGGGCGGCGGAGTTTTCTGCGGAGGCTGGCACATCGGTGATTTTTTTTTTTTTTTTTTTTTTTTTGGCCTCCGGGTTCAATGAGTTTTCGGATTACATCTTTAATAGGTGGGGGCCATGATATTGGGTTTAGCAGCGCGTGGAGTTTATAGGGTTTTGGCGGCTTCCGGCTTGGGATTTTTTTGCATTTACAACGTCATGGGAAAAAACGGATACACACCGCCAGGGGCGGGCGAGTCTCTCTCTCTTATATCTTTTCGGTCGGCGGGGAAAGGAATGGGCACATGTACACAACGACTCGACGACGCAGACGAATTTCCTTTGTCTCCGGCCAACACGAACAGCCAGTCGGCTAGGTCGTACATACGTATATTTATCTAGGGAATCGGGAAGGGGGGGGGGGGGGGGTGGTTTAGCAGGGGAGTGGTTCCGCCCCAGAAACTGTCGGCTCGCCGCGAGCGAGGAATTGGATGGACATAAAAGTTGCTTCGCAAGCCGAGATTGCTTTGGTTGACTAATTATTCGGCTATCATGAAGAATACTGAGAGCTCTAGATCGTCCGAACCTTGCTACACCGTTGCGTCAGGTCAGCGGGATGACCAACCCATAAAGA